AAGAGGAAGAAGCCACAGGCATAGCACTTTCCATTTTAACTTAAAAATCAGGTGGCTTATATACCACAAAAAATGTATACATATGTTCGTTGAAACACGTGAACAAGTATATTGGTAGTAGCAGTGTTCATACTGGGGCTTCAAACTTGGTGGGAACCACACAAATGCCCATTAACAAGAGAATGGATACATAAATTGTGGAATATGCACACAGTGGAGTAATACACAGCAAAAAAACATAGTTACAAACCGCAAAATTAATGAACCTCACAAACCTAATGTCGAACAAATATAAAAGAACCCATTTATATAAAACACAAAACAAGCAATAACAATTATCCTGATTCCTAACAAAATGCCATGTTCATAGATTGGAAGACTCAACGGGGTCAATCCCAAATTAATCTGTAGATTCAAAGCAATTCAAATAAAAATCCCAACTTCTTTTGTGTGTGTTCCAAGGCTGACTTTCAAACTTATACCAAAATGAAGATAGGCAAGAATAGTCAGGAGAGTCAAGTAAAGCAAGGTGGGAGAAACCTCTTCTACCTGATATTAAGACTTAATATGAAGCTAAGGTATTAAGACAGTGGTATCAACTCAGGCATAGAACAGACCAGTAAAACATAGAGCTTAGAAAGAGAACCATGAATATATGGATACCAGATAGAAGAAAATGATGGTACTGCAGAATAATGTGGAAGGCACAAACTTCTCAATAATTAAAGTTGGGCAATCAGACATTCATCTGGAAAAAAGAAATGAAACTTAACCCCCAATTTGCACCATAACACAAAAACCAGTTCCAGGAAAATAATAAAGTTATTTATGGAAAGTAAGATAATAAAGTTCCTCAAAGATAAAATAGGAGACTATCTTTTTGATCTTGAAATGGGGAGAGGCATTTTATATAAGATGCATGAAGTATTAACCATAAAAATGTATGGATCAACTGAACATTATAATCAAGAAATCTTCTTAATCAAAAAATACCATTTAAAAAGTGAAAAACCAAGCAACTAAGTAAAAGACTTGCAGTGCATACATTCAACAGACTCATTTCCGGAATACAGAACTCTTAAAATCAAGAAGACAGTTCCCAGAGGATACCTAAAGGGTTTTTTTTTTTTTTTAAATGGAAAACAATAGTCATCTAGAAAACACACATACAAAAATACAAAACTTATGACCTAGCATTTACACTCTTATATTGTCTATCCATGCATATGTTTGCCAAAAGACATGACTGTTCTATAACAGAATTATTTTTAAGACCCTAAAATTGAAAACAATCTCAATATCCCCATACTGGTGATTGGTATCTACAGTGAAATACAAAAATGACTCAGAAACATGTGAGCAAAAGAAATTAAAATACAAAATACATTATGATTTGTTATGTAGAGTAGAAAATAGGACATGAAAAAATAAACTATGGTTAGGATGCATGAATCACTTTCAAAATCATGAAGGAAATCAGGTAAGTTGTCCAGATAGTGTTGTTAGAAAATAAACTGAGATATGCTAACATTGTGAAATTTGAGCAAATATTGATTTGGATCTGGGCAGCACTAAACTGTTAGGAGCTAGGGGAGAGGCTCTTATATTCAAAGATACTGTACTTAAAACAAGGAAATCATTTGATTGGATATAGTTGAAGGAGTTCTCTTATCTGTGAAAGCCAAGTTGGCAGGCTGTGATTGGTTGTCCCCAGATTTTTCAGTCAGAGGACTTTACTCTGGTTTAGGTTTTGGTTTGCTTAAGTAGGCTGCCACCAATTAGACTTTCCTTGTTTTATTTAAAAATTATCTCTGAGGGTGGAAAAGGGAGGGTGAAATCATTGGAAGGGGTTTTTGGGTCCTGGCAATGTTCAGGCATCACCCTTCACCTGGTGATTCCACAGGTGTTAGCATTCTGACAATTCATGGAGTTGTATATAGTAATGTGTATACTTGTTTTTTTCAAAATAAAATAGCAATCTATTTATCTATGTATGAGTTAGTTACCTAGGAATACATTTAGTGAATGATGTATAAGACCTTTATGGGAAAGGCATTAAATGAAACCCGAATAATGGAGATATTCATGTTCATAGTTTGGGTCACTCCTGACCCACTCCTCTATCCCCAAATCTGTTCCTTCTCATTTCAGCTAATGGCAATTCATTTCTAGTTGTTCAAGTAAAATCTTTGCTCATTCTGACTTCTCACACCACATAGTCCACTAGCATATCCCTTGGGAGCAATCTTCTAAATATATCCAAAACCTGATCACTTCTACCACTTAACCATCTTGGCTTAAGTCACTATATTTTGCCTAATTATTGCAGATAATCTCTTGCTTTTTCGTTCCTGCTCTTGGTCTCGTTTCCTTTTCTCAACACAGCAGTCAGAGCAACTGTTTAATTATACTATCACTTCACCGATCTGTCCAAAACCTCTAATGACTCTCTACAGATAAAAGCTAAGGGACTTGGGGCACCTGGGTGGCTCAGTGGGTTAAAGCCTCTGCCTTTGGCTCGGGTAGTGATCCCAGGGTCCTGGGATCAACCCCCACATCGGGCTCTCTGCTTGGCAGGGAGCCTGCTTCCTCCCCTCTCTGCCTGCCTCTCTGCCTACTTGTGATCTCTGTCAAATAAATAAAATCTTAAAAAAAAAAAAAAAGCTAAGGGACTTAAAATAGCCTGCAATGCCCGATATAAGCTGGACTGCCAATTACCTCTCTGAAATACTTTAATGCTTTTCTCCCTGGTTACTCAGCTTCAGCCACAATGGCTTCTGGCTGCATCTCAGTTCATTGTTTCAAACAAGCATAGCTGGATGTGCTGGAAGAGGAAACTAAAGTTGCAAAGACAAGAAATTGAATCACAAAAGCCACGTTAAGGACCCGTCATAGTTTCTTCATAACATTGCCTATAATGCACAAGGCTCTATTCTAGGTATTTGAAATAGAGCAATAGGTTAAAAATAATTTAAAAATCTTGCTCTCATGGAGCTTCCATTCAAGTGGAAATTAGACAATAAACCAAGTATGGGAACTATACAGTAGCATGGTAAATGTTATGAAAATAAGCCAAGTGGACAGTGAAGGCAATTACGAAATCAAATAGAGTACTCAGATGACAATAGGAAGTGGTTGTAGGTATTTGAGTATTATTTTTGGGAAAAGACCATGCTAGGAAGCATAAAGAAAAGTGTAAGGAACTTTCAGATTCCTCAGGTTCATTCTTATCAAGTTGTAGTCTTCCCCCATTGACTTACTAGCAGGAAGATCCAACCATATAAATAGTAAGCATGTCTTCTGGGCCAGTGGAACAGAATAGAGAGCTTAGAAAGAGAACCATGAATATATGGATACCAGATAGAAAAAAATGATGGTACTGCAGAATAATGTGCAAGGCACAAACTTTTCAATAATTAAAGTTGGGCAATCAGACATTCATCTGGAAAAAAGAAATGAGACTTAACCCCCAATTTGCACCATAACACAAAAACCAATTCCAGGAAAATAATAGTTATTTATGGAAAATAAAATAATAAAGTTCCTCAAAGATAAAATAGGAGACTACCTTCTTGATCTTGAAATGGGGAGAGGCATTTTAATGGCATTACCTCAAGAAGGGAAACTGGGTTAAAAAAAAAAAAAAGGGAAACTGGGTGACTTTCACTCAAAGATTTCAAGGTTTGTTTTTTTAAATTCACATTAAGTAACTGAACCCTTAAACATTTAATGACTTCTTTTGACAGCATTGGCTCATATTACACCATATAATCATTAGTAGCTTTACTTTTAAATTTGTAGTTTATAAACTCAATTTATTACTTTGCTTAGCCTAGTTACTAGAGTATACATGTATAATCATCAGAGTTCTAGACCTAGTGCATGGATGAGCCCTAGTATGGAGGTACAACTCATTTAAGATCAGTCTTCCAATTTGTGTGGTTGTGTAAACCTTGGAATTTTAGAGTAAGAAAGATGTTTCCTAAATAGTTCCTTAGATGTCTCCAAACTTAATTTCAGTCCTTAGTCTCTAGCCCTATCCATCTTCAGGTTCTACATTTTCCACAAACGCTGATCCGTAACATCTAATAGGAAGACCCCTCTATCTGAAAAAGATACAGAAAAACCCTGGGAAATGGTCATTACTTCTACATTCTAGCATTCCTTGTATTTCTGTAAGGAACCAATTCAATTACATGGTTCTCTGAAAACAAATTCCATTTAATTTCACTTCTAAGTTCAAAGCATTAGTTGGAAGCCCGAAAAAAAAAAAAAAAAAAAAAAAAGAAAAGAAAAAACCCAACCCCGTCTTAAAGCCTTCCAGTTTGTAAGTGCATACACTAGTTAAAAAACTTAAATAGAATTCTATATGGATTTTAAAATTGCTCTTCATATGCCAAAGATTTTTTTTTCTCATGCTTTTATAGCCCCACTCTCAAAATTGGGCTTAAAGCCAAACTTATTTCTATAAGCACCAGACCAATTGTCCAAATTTTCCAGGTAAAAATGAGTTAATAAAACTTAATATTGTTCAAAGGATCTTAACACATACAATTATTTTAGAGTCCTTGAATACAGATTTTAGGAACCAAGTTATGTTCAAGGTCATCCCTTTTAAGTTTTTAACCAACCTTTCTCCCATCATGTTTCACAGTATAAAATCTATACTGCATGCTGGAGATCATAAAACCCCTGGATGAAGTGACTCCTAGAAGAAACTGGCCCAGGAATGCAGGCAGATAGCTCTGCAATTTGCAAAGTTCTATTCATTTACTCTTTAAAGGATTTTTTAAAGAATATTCTAACATGTTCTTTTGTATTTTTTACAGTGCTGGAAATGCTACTGACATTTTCACTGTCACCATGTACTTGTCAAGGGGAGAAACAAACCGTCAAGCCTAAGGCTAGTCAATGTTATGAACTCAGAGGCCATTTGCAATTAAAGTGCTCTCTTGTAATAAAAGCATCAAAAAGTTAATACAAGTACTAGTCTTAAGCAGTCACACATCTAAGCCACATTTATTTGCACATGTATAGTAATGGCAACAGATACTCCAAATTCATACAAATTTATAAAACAACAAATAATCACTTGGTACACTTGTGTGTTATCTTGCTTACAGATTCAAGTGTAGATGAACTTCCTTCATTCTGTAAACTTTCATACAATACTTAACAAAAAACTCTTGAGAACACATATTGGCATGTTTCAGTTAGAGCCAACACAAAAGTTAAGACAAGACCACAAACTCAACCAAGTTTAGAATATACTTTTCTACCTCCCTCCCCTAGAAAGTGATTATTTTCTTCAACAGATGTATATGCTGTATCACACAAGTAGCCATGGAGACAAAAGAATGATGCTCCCATAATCATGAAGAAAATGCCAACCAAATTATACTGTTTTATCTACCAATAATGATTTGTATAGGAGAAACAGGGGGGATGCTTAGATTAAAATAACAAGGGAGATTAGAAAAAAATAGTGAAAGATTTTGAGAACTATGTTCCCCCTGAAAGCTGCAAAGATCTGACTATGACAACTCAAAATAATCACGTAAGGCAAATAAAAATGAAAAAAACCTTCAAAGACATTCTAATCACGTTCAGTATCTAGTGATAAAAGCTGAAAATGATTATCAAGAGAGTATTTATTATACAAGTGTCAACGAGGACATTCCAAAACTAATGAAAGAAATGCACATTTATTTCTACAAAAGCAATGTATAATACAGAATCAGAAGGGAACAGACTTAAAGATTTACCTATTAAAATATACAGATTCTTACTGAAGAGTATAGGATATTTAAAAAAGATGACAAGGGATGTTAATCTTTTTTTATTATTATTATTTTTACATATTTTGGAACCTCACATAATTTTGATAAATAACTCTTACAAAATTATGCAAAAAGTACAAGAATGTCTGGTAAACAAACAGTCTGTATTTTCCAAAAAGATTTTTTACAACATGCAATTCTTAAGGCAGCATCCTCCTTACAAGGAAAGGTAATCCTTTTACTCATCAAGAAATCTTCTGCTGCAAAGAATAGGCTAAGAAAGCCTGGCTTCTTCCATTAACGCCTTTTGTCTTTCCTGTCTGATTTTCGGTCTCTTTCACTTCTTGAAGATCTTTTGCCTGATCGACTACTCTCTGATATAGACCTCTTTCTGTCGGACCGGGAATTCTTATCCTTTGATCCTTTTGTATCTCTACTACTACCACCTTTTGAAGATTTGTGACTTCTTTCTAGTCCTGATGTATCCCTTCGCTTCCGATCCACGCTCCTTCTGTGCTTTCTATCTCTGTTATGTCCCCGGCCCCTACTCCGACTTCTACTCTCACTGCTACTAGTGGTGCTGCTGCTACTGTCTCTGCTGCTGCTGCCACTAGTGCTGGAGCTGCTACTGGAACTACTGCGACTACTACTGCTGCCACTGCTGGAACTGCTTCCACTGCTGCTACTAGTGGAACTACTACTAGAACTACTACTGCTACTGCTGCGACTTCTACTCTTGCTGGTTTTATTTCTAGCTCGCCCTCTACTTCTGCTCCTAGTTTTGGTTTTGGTTTTGCTCTCTGAATGTACTGTTAAGACTGGCTCTACTGTCACCTCAGTGAGTTTTACAGATTCCACAGGAAATTCCTTCCTCTCAGGTAGCAAATGCCCTTGCTCCTGAAAAACCTGAATTGATGGCTGTAAAACAGCTAATGGCAAAGTCTCAGGTTGAGAGAGAGGCTGGGCTTGGAGCAGTGCTTGGGGCTGGGGCTGGGACGGGGGCTGGGGCTGGGACGGGGGCTGGAGCTGGGGCTGGGGCTGGGATGGTGGCTGTGGCTCAGGCTGCAGCTGTGGCTGCGGCTCAGGCTGCAGCTGAGGCTCAGGCTGAGACTGAGGCAGGGGCTGGAGGTGAGCCACAGGCTCAGGCTGGGGCTCAGATTCTTTCTCTTCTTTTTCCTCAGGCTCATTTTCCATTTCTAGAGCACTGGCATTCTCTTTCACGGGAGAAAGAGATTTACATTCTTTATCTGGCTCAACTTCAAATTCCATCTCTGGCTCCAGTTCTTTGCTAGTTTCGTTTTCTGAAGGTTCTACACTTTCCACTTGATTGGTTTCCATTACCTCCTGCTCAGCAATTACATTTTTGACACTCTCGACCATCTCTAGCACATCCATAACTTCTTCCGGTTGACTATCCTGCTGCTTCTCACTTTCCCTTACCTCAGTTTCCTCCTCCATCTTGACCTCCATTTCCTGTTTTTGTTCCTCCTCCTCCTGTTCTTTCTCTGCATCACTATGAACTATACCTATTTCCTTTTCCTCTTCCTCTCCTGCTTCCTCTATTTCTACGTCATTGTGCTGATTACCTGTCTCCTCCAACTCTTCCTCTCGCTGAGCCACCTTACCCTCTTCTTGTTCCGCCTTCTGTTCTTCATTACGCACCACCTGATGCTCTTTTTCCTTCATTGATTGTCTTCTAGGCCTAGCCTCCATTTTATTTATTTGTTCTGCAAATTCAATGCGTCTACCTTCAAATAAAGCTAAAGGATAAAAATTTACATGTGTAAATAAAACATTCAAACTCACAATTTGACACTTAGGCACAAATTGTTATCAAGCTTTATCTAAGTGTCTTTTTGTAAAGAGACACAAGACTGATTATGGCAAGTAATTACAAACTGAAATGACACAAGCGAAGTTCCCCCGGAAACCTATATACTAAGATATAAGTAGCAAGTAACTACACCACATTAACTGATGGGAAAAAAGGACAATTTTTTGCTTTTCTACTTCATGCTGGATGAGAAAGAGTAAGACCTCTTTAAAATAAAATCATTCTTATGCCATCATGTCCTGCATTAATGTTTCCTATCCTAGAAAGACTAATCCTCTAATCCCATCTCAGCAGTGTCTACCTTTGAATGTGTGCTCCTTCTATGGATTACACCAATGTTCACTTTTTTCTTGCTTAATCAGCATTTATGTCTGGCTATAAAGTCATCCTATCCAAACGCTTAAGAAATACACATGCATTAAGCACTATCTACAACACGGTAACTTTCAGGTTAAATTCCATCATAAATCAAATGCTCCTGCACTCCCAACTCATTAGCATCTTAGATTATCTTTTTAAAAAATCAACTACTGAAACCCTATTACAGGACACAAATGTTTATGTGTGGGTGTATTACCTTATCCTTATTTACCTTATTTAAAAAATTTCACTGGAACTCTTCACGTACACTTACCATTCATTTTTCTCTGTGACTCTTCTATTAATTTTTGGGTAGCTGGACACATTCTTCCAGGAATATAGAACAAATGGGGCTTTGTCTTAGTTCTTATATATTTAATTATCTTGGCATTATGTTCATTCCATTCTTCTTGCTAAAGAAAAGGTAAAAGGTGAGGTTTTCGTTAATATGAAGGATTACCAATCCTAGAATTCCAATTCCAAACTACTACTCACCAGCTGCGCAAGCTCAACCTTCTGTTCTAAAAGCCGCAGTTCTGTCTGTTTAGCACGCCTCTCTTCAAACAGTTCTCTCCTCTCATTTTCAACTTGCTTTCTTTCTTCTTCTGCCTGCACTTCGAGTTTTTGTTCAATTTCCTGGCGCCTCTTTTGCTGAAGATAAATAATTATCTTTGAAAACTTACCACACATTCTGATTATGTGAAATGCTGCAATTTTACTAAGTTATCTTTATATGCTTCATATTTGCAATTCAGGATACCAGCTAATTCAAACAGCACTTAGCATTTGAGGCTAATCGCAATTTCTCTTTGAGGAAACAGGGACTATGTAAAAACCTAAATATCAAGGACATTAACCATATTATCAGTAACCATTCCATTTAAATTAACTGTTAGGCAACATTCTTTCATAAAACCCAAAAAAGAAGAGCAATGTCTTTTTAAATTATCTTCATAGTTACTCTTCCTTCCAATCAGATAATGTGACAGAAGTGACATCCTATTTTCACACATTATTCTTTGAAGACTTTTATATTCCTCAGGAAAGTTAACATACAAAAGCTCTAATAAAACTTTATTAATCTATAACTGAATTGTTATCTCCCTTTCCACCATAGTTCTCCTTTGAGAAGCAGTGACTTGATATCGAACACCAAGGACACAATATTATAGCTTTTATAAAAAAACCTCTAGAAAGATTGCAGTTGAATGAATGTAGAAGGCAGGGAATGTTTAGGCTTTTGCTTCCTGAGTGCCAACTGTCTCTGAGTGTATAAATAACTTAAAAATTATAATCACTGAACTAGTTACAATGCTGACCAAGTTCAACTCCCTTGTTTGAAAGAAAGCACTCTGAGGCCTAAAGAAATGAAGAGTCTTGTCCGAAACCACAAAATGAGATCGTTGTAGAGCTGAGATCAGAACCCAGGTTCTCCTGAGTCACAGACCAAGGCTCTTTGCACTGAAAGAGAAGTTCATGCAGTTACTTCATAGGACCTCAAAAGAGACCAGTTAAAAATATAACAACTTCAGAAAATTTTATAAGCTTTTTCCTTGGCTTTAATTTAGGCCTGCAATTCAGTTTTGAGAGTTTTTTTTGACTCTTCTCAAAAACATGTAATGAACTCCTTTTGAATACTTAAAGAATCAAAGGAAAACTATATAAATACCCTTTCAGTAGCAACAGTGGATTCTTGTTTAAATTTCTGCAAAGTACCCATCAATAAGCCAAATATTCGTCGGTTCCTAAAGAAGACAAAGAGAAAATTCAATTTCAGTAGGTTGCACTTCATCTAAGACCGCCACTTCCTACAAGAAACATACTACAAACACCTGAACAATTCTTAAATATAAATATTTCTAAAACTGCATGATTTGACAGGAAATTTTCCCCATTAAAAAAGAACTAAAGACAGGGTGCCTGGGTGGCTCAGTGGGTTAAGCCTCTGCCTTCAGCTCGGGTCATGATCTCAGGGTCCTGGGATCAAGCCCCGCCATCAGGCTCTCTGCTTGGCGGGGAGCCTGCTTCCCTCTCTCTCTGCCTGCCTCTCTGCCTACTTGTGATCCCTCTCTTTGTCAAATAAATAAATAAGATCTTTAAAAAAAAAAAAAAAAATACAAAACTAAGGATACCTTTGCTTTCCCTTTTCATCCATATTTTGATCCTGGATAAGGTCTCTACGTGTGCGCTCTTTGGAGGTAGCTACAACTGAAGACTGCAAAGCTGGCTGCAGGAGAAAATAAATCTCAGTAATTTAACAACCATATGAAAAGGCAGCACTCTCAAATGTAGTAAAGACAGAAATACTACATTCATCCCGTAAGTAGTTCTTTTCATCTCTATTACCTTTTTAACATCATCATCCTCTGGGTCGCTTTCTTGGCGTGATTCTCTCCTTGTCCGACGCTCCCCGCCCAGCCTGACATAGGAAAAATAATTTAAAAGGCCACTGTAAAATCTGACTTAAGTACTACCAAGGACAAGTGATTACTTCTACTATGACTTATTTCCGTAAGTCTCATCTCATCAGTCTCCATCCCATTTCACTCTTTCCTCTGGTAGTAAAAGGATAAAATGTGTCACCAGTGCCCAGTCCAAATACTGATCTATATTTCTCAAGTGGATTAAGTTTTTACAGTACAAGACAGGAAAGTAGCACAAATATTTTCTCGATCTTATTCTTCTCATAATATTTATTTTGTTAAGATTTCTGTTACTGTTAGTGAAAACTGAGTTCTGAGGGATACAGGCTTAGTTCAGTCAAATACCAAGGGAACCGACTCAAAGAAGTGGTATACTACTCAGTTCTAACATAACTCAACAAAATTTATTTAATACCTGTATCTGTGGCTACCTCAGAAAATAAAGCATACAAGTATGTCTTCAAATGTTTTCCTCCTACGTACCTACTGACTGCCCCTTCAAGGTCTCTCTGTTTGGCTGGGGGTCCTCCTCCACTATCTGAGAATCCACGCCTGCAATTAAAAATGCTCAATATAAACGAAAATTAAGATAAATATTTACCCTTAGCAAGATAATTTCGTTGAATTAAAAAAAAAAAACCCTTCCAATCACAACAACCTCAAATGGGCATCCACTCCAAGATGCTTTTTAGCACTTTTTAAAAAATATAAAAATAAATTAAGTGTACAGAAAATGGGTAATGTATTCTTCAGTCTCTAGTTTTGCATATAAATGAAGTTCCAAGATAACTACATAGGAAACTATAGCTGATCACAGTTTAAACAAAACAAACACAAACATATCTAATGTGGGCTCTACAACCGATTTTGTTTAAACCTATAGTTAATTTAGTAAAAGTATCTACCGTCTTAGCATAAAAATTAAGTCCTAAGAAAGTCTTACCTCAGCAATAAACTACCACGTCCTCTACCTCCACCAGGACCAGAAAGGGCCAGCAATCTGGCTTGGATGGGCCTAAAAGATATTTACAAATTGTATGAAAATCATGCTTGGACTTATTTAATTTAATGTCACCAAATACTTTCACGGATGCGGTACATCATAAAGAGAAAAATAACCAGAAAAGTTCTAAAAATACGGTTTCAAATCCACGTGCCTCAAACAAGACAGGAAGTCCTATTTTAACTTCCTTGTTTTTTCAAGACCATTATCACAGAAATTGTATTTACTTCGTTCCCACTGCACATTAATAAGCTTCGATCAGACCCTAATTTCGTCAACTCCGAAGAAGTTGCACGTGGGAAAGAGGGCAAATGCTTGGGTGAGAAGCAGCGGACAACGTCCCAGGAGGGTCTCCGGGCCAATACCCGGTCAGGTAGCCGCCGGTTGGGGAAGGGGCTTTGTGCAGCAGTTCCCGGCCTGCAGGGCCGAGGGCGGGAATCGCAGGCCGGGCCTTCCTACAGGCCAGAAGACATGCCGGCATAGCTAGGACCCACCTGCCTTCCTCTCGCACTTGAGCTCCGAGACCTACGTCGAGGGCGTGGAAGACTCCCCACCTCATCCAGGACCGGATTCTACTGCCGCCCCCGGGACAGGCCCCGATGTTCTAGCCTTCTCAAGGCTAGCCGCCCTTCCCGCCCCCAATTCACCCCGGCATGATGGCTGTCTCTCGGAGCCAGCCTGTCTTATCCACCTCTTACCTCACGTCATTCGGATCCCGTCCGGTGAGCTTGCGAATATTCTCATCTACGTTCTTTAGGCTCTCTTTGGCCTTTTCTAGCTGCTCCTGCAAAGTTCTCACCGCGACCGCCATCTTCTCTCTGCAGCAGGCTTCGAGACTGCTCTACAGGCCGCGCCTGGCTCTGTCGCGCCGCGAGACGCGAGAGGACTGACAGCAGGGTCCAGCCAATGACAATAAGCGTTGTTTTGCGGCCTCAACCACTCAGCGTCCGGAAGAGGGAGAAGCTGCCGGCCTCTGTGACTCTGGGCCAATGAAAAGTCTTCTGAGCGGCTGACTCCCTCCCCCAATTAGTTGCGGTGGCCGGGCTCCGTTTCTAGCGCAGAGCCTGGGCGCACTTGAGAGGCTCTGGGGTTTTCGGAGACGCCGGCTCGCCCGCCTGCTCTTGCGGTGCGGAGCGCGGAGTCTTCCAGCCCTTTTAAACTGGGATATGACGTGCCTTGTATCTTTTTAACCACCTAATTACATCAGAGTGGGATGGAGGCGAATCTTTTCCCCTCCTGCCGTGTAAAAGATCAGATTAAGAAAGGGTGCGGCCATTCTGTCGGTGCGCATGCCCGGGGTGGGGGTAGGGGGGCGCCGGCGTCCCTACATTGGGTTAAACCAAAACGAGCAGAGGGAAGCAAAAAATGAACATGAAAAGTCATTAATCGTAATAGCTAACAATTTTTTTTCCGGTACCGTATGAAACGTTTTATATACCTTGTCTCTCAACTCAAAGCTTGAATAAAATGCGGATTATTACTGGTAAGGAAATTGAATATGGACATAAGGGTAACTCCCTAGGTCAAGGTAGCTGAGAATCACTATTTGATCAGACCCTGTGCAAGGGTGTACTAAATGAAAAAAGCTTAGATGAGACTGAGACTGGCATTATCGTCTACACCTGGCCTCTACCGCTGGTTAGTTTAAGATGGGGTCTAGAGTAGCGGCTCTGTTGTTACTTGTGCGTATGCGACAGAGTGTCCTGTGGTTCTGTTCTTTGTACATGGCCAACAAGAACCATTTTGTTCCAGAAATGCATTTGCAAATTACAGCTCAAAAAGCATTTCCTCATAGAAACAGTGTTATGAATAATCTTAGTTCTCATCATCTTTTAGTCGGGCATCAAGCTTGCACGAATCATTAGTGGGACAACAGTATTTAACTGGTTACCATCTTAATTCATCTCTTTAAAAGTTCCTTTGTGGATCAGCAGTAATCTAGGCTCTGAGGATAAAACCTTGAACAAGATCGCTGTGGTTCCTGTTTGTGGGGTTTGTAGGCTCCTCGGGGAGCAAAAATCATTCATGTACTCATTCATTCATTCACAGTATTTGCTGAGTGCTTACTGTGTGACAGGCATTTTTCTGGGTACTGGGATAGTCAGTGCAATAAAGATCTCTGTCTTCAAGGAGCTTGGGGGAAAAGTATGGAGACACAGGATAAATAAGTTACATGGCATGTTGGAAATGGAGAAATTCTATGGAAAAAAATTAAAATGGGTAAAGGGGATAAGGGTTGATAAATAATAGTAATTCTGATTAAAAGCATACTTAGTCCCATTGATCCTTACTCTAACACTGTGTAATAGACTAAACATAAAGGATGAGAATGTGGTAATAGTAGATCCCAACCACCAAATGTAATACCCTGGTTTCTCTGCAGATCCTATAAATCTTTCCCCCTTTACAACCACCAAATGTAACAGTGTTTCCATGGGAAACACTTTTAGAGGCAACCAGAAACAGGATCTTTTCCTGCTTCCGTAGGAGGTACTACTAGAATCCTGGGCAATTTAACACAGCTTTATGGGGGAGAATTAGGGGGCTGTTGTGTTCAACATTTAGCAGATGCTCAATAAATACTTGTTTCCCATCAATTCCAAAATATTCCAAGAACACCATGTTACTGTTTGAGAAATCAACCTTAGTAAGTTGGTCAGTTGGTTACTCTTTTACCTCAGTTGTATGCTTGGACTCCTTTTCCTTGATGGTAATGATGAAGGGAAAAATGCAGTCAGGACATAAGGGACATGATTTCAAATAAGGGAAATTTGGGTGCTGGAAAAATTAAGATCATGTTTGCAAAATAATCTCTGAATTGCACTAATGTTATTAAATAACAAAAATTCAACAGTAAATTGTAAAGTTATAATTAGCTTTATTAATTGATTCATGAATTGGGCAGCATTCCATCTAGCAAGCAGAGGGGGAGCTCCAAAAGGCTACAGAAAGGGAGATATTTTTACAGGTAAGACAAGGAAGTCATAAAGAGAAAAAAGGATTATTTCAGGTAAGGTCACCTTCCTTTGGGGACAAGAGGGTATTAGTAGGTGTATTACCTCCTCATCTACCTTTGGGGGTTGGAGAAAGCCTCTGTGACCTTATTGGCATAGACCAGAAAAGTTTACTTACCAGTTACCTCTATGTTTCCAGTGGAGAAAACTACAATTAGGTTAAGCATTAAGCTCCAGTTTGATGACATGGCCTAGCATTAATGACTCTATTTTGGGCCTGTGGTTTTCTTTTTAACACTGTTTTCATAGGCTAGGGGGAATGTATATGTGATGATCAAAAAAACTGATGCAAACATTAGAAGGGACATGTTTTTTAAAAAAAGAAAAGAAAAAAGCTGTCATTATTACAATTATGGAAGATGATCTTAGTTTTTTTTGAAGATTTTATTTATTTGAGAGAGTGGGCTCAAGCAGGAGCAGAGGGAGAGGGAGGAGCAGAGTCCCCGCTGAGCAGGGATCATGACCTAAGCCAGAGGCAGACACTTAACTGACAGAGCCACCCAGACAACTCTGGAAAATGATCTTAAATTCCTGTGAAAGAATATGGAGAGTTGAGAGATGATTGTTAACAACTAGAGAAAATTCAATATGTAAACTTGGGGGAAACATTTAATTAAATATATTAATATCACAAGGGAAAAAATCTTCCTTGTGAATTACTAAGAATCAATCATAAGCTAAGCAACACCTTTAAGTCAGAGTTTGCCAAATTTAGAAGGTGCTTATGTATGTGTTTGCATCTTTGTAGGAGTTAAATCCCACATCTCCCATAGATCCTTTATTTTTAAGATTTTGTTGATTTGTCAGAGAGAGTGCACACACAAGCAGGGGAGCTGCAGGCAGATGGAGAAGCAGCCTCCCTGCTGAGCAAGGAGCCCAATGTGGGACTTGATTCCAGAACCCTGGGATCATGACCTGAGCCACCCAAGCGTTCCTGCTGTAGATTCCTATGAGCTACTTCCCACAGTGAGGTCGCTCTTCTGGTCTTTCGCACTTTTTCATGCACCTAATCGTCTGGTTCTGTATTTTGTTTTAAATGAACCTCGCCCTTTGCTTACTTCATCCCCCTTAACTTATACCTGACTCCCAGTAAACTTTTTGGTGGCCAAAATGACTAAATCTTTTTGCATACCCAGGTTTAATCCACAATGAATTGGGATAATTTCTTAATATAGCTAAACTTCATAGCCTGAAAAATGATTTACTCATTCACTCTCTTTACTCTTCCTATTGAGGAACACACGGCAGAAATGAAAGCTTTTGATGAAGCTAATTCTTGGCAGTGCTAACGTATAGCTAGTTAACACACATTTCAGCAGGCACTCCTTTGTCTTATTTTACCCCTTCACACTCCCGCCCTTGCACCCCGAAGTCACTTGTGAGAGGAAACTTCCCCACGTCTGGGTGCGAACAGTTCAACCCAGAGAATTAATTCTGTGACCATAGAGCTGGAGGAAGGCCGGGATAGACGGGACCGGAAGTTGTTTTTCCGCCCCCCGCCCAGGGGCCGGATAGGGTCTGGGCTGGCTCTGTTTGTTTCCGGGTGCTGTCAGATTGTGTTGTTGGGCCTGAGGACTTGGTGGCCCTGTAGTGGGCTCGTCCCGGTACCGGACTCACGCTTGTACCAGGCTTGGGGACGTGGAGCGAGTTTTTCGGTCTCCTAGCAACCAGGAACTGGCTGTGGACTGAAGGAGTCGCGGAGCCGGCGTCCAAATCGCTCAGGCGCTAGCCGGAACCTTTGAGCCCGGCCCAAACCAGAGCCGAAACCCGGCGTTTGGAAGACTAAGCAGGAAATGGCGGACGAGGCGTTGTTTTTGCTTCTCCATAACGAGATGGTGTCTGGAGTGTACAAGTCCGCGGAGCAGGGGGAGGTGGTGAGTGCTGCCAAAAGCCCTTGAGGTGCTCGCTTCCACAGCACATATACCAAAAGCCCTTGAGGTCCTTTTGCGGTGACATTCTTTGTTTTCTCTCAGTTCTTTCCTTCAGCCCTTGTCCTATCGCCCCCGAAGGCCCTCCGAAGTGTAGACAAACTTGTCCACTGCCAAGTATCCTACGCCTAAAATCTGTCAGCTCTATTCAGTCTTTCATCCTTTTCACTTTCGCATATTGACTTTTTTTTCCCCGCATTCTCATATCTGATTCCTGCAGGTCACAGATTTTCTTACTTTTAGCGTTGTCGCTACCATGATTTATGGCATGGTTAACTGCACAGCTGGTTTTGGCACCCTTACTTAATTCTGTCACTCCAGCACTACGGAGCCATCCACTGGGCACAGTTGTGAAACTACCCCCAGCTCCTATCCATAATCATCAGTATTACTGCACGCACCTCTCAAACAGAAGGGTAATGCGATTTGAGATTAAAGGGAAGTTTGCAGGCGTTACTATAATTAGGAAACAAATTTAATTAAAAAATTAGTTATTTAGTGCCCATTATAAGTCAGAGGTGGTTCTGCGTGCTGGCGGTATAGTAATGAAACAATGACCCCATTCTCCAGGGGGTTACTTAGAATTTGTGGGAAACATCATTTATTCAGAAAATATTTATTAAGTGTTTATTGTGAGCCTGATATTGTGCTAAATGAGATCAATCCCCCACCTCACAGTCATTGGGAAATAGGTGTCAATGAATAATTAATGTATTAGGTTGTAATTAGGTATAAAATCACGGAGTTCTAATGAATATTATAAATTGGATATTCCAAAGTCATACTTAAGTCAGAAGCCCTCTCTGTGATGCTGTTGATCAAGAAGGGTGGACAGTGGGGGAAGGGAAAGCATCTCAGGAAAAGGTAAAGGCATAGGGGTATGTATGAAAGAGTGTAGTGCATTTAAATATGCTTAAGTATTTCACTGTGACTAGACTGAATGGATGGAGAGTGAGAAATGTTGAGAACTGAAGCTGGAAAGAGCCCTGTATGCTGTATGATTAAAGAATTTGACGTTAGCAGTGGGGGTGTTTTTTGTTTGTTTTTGTTTTTGTTTTTAAGAGCTAGAGCACGAGCTTGGTGTGGGGTGGGGCAGGAGAGAAACTTAAGCAGACTCCACACAGTCAGAGCCATATGTGGGGGCTTAGTCCCATGACCCTGAGGTCTTGACCTGAACCAAATGAAGAGTTGGACACTTAACCGCCTGAGCCCACCCATGTGTCCCAGTGGAGAATTTTAAAGAGGGGAATGATGTGGTCCATTTGCATTTTAGAAAGATAATCCAGTGTTTAGGTTGGAGAGAGAAGATCCTTGTAGTGGAAAGATTCATTATTTCAGGAGTCGGCAGGAGATGATGAAGATCTGAACTAAGAAAAGGAGAGAATGGTTTGAAAGGAGGTAGACTCTCTAGGACTTGGTTAGGTATAAG